CTGGGTCTAATTGGCAAAACTGTAATAATTCTTAGATCAAATACATGATGCACTCAGCCCACTTGCATTTTTAGTCTACTGCGTGTAATAACAAGTCATAACACTGGGGATTTCATGAATAATCATTTCTGCCTGCCTTCCCCTTTCAGTGGAGGATTTCCAGAGTGCTTGATGATCGTGCAGTCTCACTCCATCCCCAGGAGGCAAATGAATATTATCTTTATAAAGAGAGATAAGGCAGACGAGACAAAGGCCTGGGATAACTTGGTTAAGGTTATCAGAAAAGCCAACAGCACGGGCAGGATTTATGCCCAGGAATTAAGATTCTCGAGATGTCCATCCTTAGTATGGTTTGCCTTGGCACCGTCAAATGTGGTCTGTGAAGAGGAGAAACAAGGAGGGAAAGTTCCCGTAGCAAAGGGAGGATGACATGGAGAAGAGACTCAAGAGGACTTGAAAGGTGCATCATATTTTGGTTAGAAAAGACCTTTAAGATCGAGTCCAACGTATCGACACCTGGGGGAAGATGGGGGGGCCATGGGCTGGAGTGGGACCCCAGGCACCCGTGCTGCCCCATCGCTGCCGCTTGGCCCATGCTGAGATCCTGGGCACTGCTCTCAGCGTTCAGCATGAGCACTGGCCATAACAACAACATCAGATCCAAAGTTGCTTTTATGCACCCACAAGAGCAGAAGCAGCGGCGCCATTAATGCATCAGAGCCACCTATGGCCATTGAAAGAGGGGATTTACAAGCAGAAAGGCTTGGCTGCCTCACCAGACCTCATTAAAGTCTAATAATCTCTATGAAGATGCAGCATGGCACATACACAGTCCTAGCCCGTCTCAGCTAAAGCTCCACGAAGGCTCTATGAGCCATTTCATTGGGCATGAAACTGTAAAGTGTGTTTATTTGTGTTGTAAAAGCACTTAGATCAGGATTCCCTCTGCCAGGCTGAACCTCAGCACTTTGGTTTAGGAACAAAAGGGCCAGGTTGGTCCTGGCGAGGGATTTTATGGGACCTGGGAAGATTTCGAGGGACGTAAAAACCAGGAGCAACAGCAATGTAAATGCTTTGAGCCTCCCATGCCCTCCAAGCCCAGCGTTAAACGCTCTCTCAGCTGCAGGAACTTCAGTGTCACCAGCCTAAAAACTTGGTTAAAGAAAACCTGAGATGGACTGTGAAGTGATCTTGATGTAGAAATCATGGACTCTAACACAAATCGAGGTTTACATCAGCGTTGTGACATCTAAGCCCCTAGAAATCCCATTTCCTTGGGGTTTTTTTTTGTGATTAAACCAATTGTTAATCTGGAAGGCGAAGTTCTGCAGTAACCAAGCTGCAGCTCTGGGAATGCCTCCAGATATTGCCAAATTCTGGTGAAAACCTCGAAGTTTGGACACTCCGCAATGTAAAGAAATTTTCACGCTTTTGTGACGATAACCTTTTGTTGCTCATCAATTTGTACTGAAGCTTTTAATGACCAAACTTCCTCCTTGTCTGAGATCTGGGACCTGCTAAAAATATTTCTTTAAATCCAGCTGCAACCTGCTAAAAATATTTATGCTTGGAGAAAACCTGACTGACCCCGAGTCCAGGAAAATTGATGCCTTGAAGCTGTCGTAGCGGTGAGAAGGATCCGGTTGTGCCATCCTTGCATTAAATGGTACCTTCCCATGAGATTTGTCCTTCCCGAAATCCTGGTGTAGTGCATTAGCACATTTTGGAGGTGATAGCTGACCGTGAGAGTCGCATTTGAACCTGAGGCCACTGCTGGGTTTTTTGACTATGGCAAATAGGAAATGGTAGGGATTGACTGGAAGATTACAAAGAGAGAAAAGGCCCCAGTGATCTGCAGAGAGATGGGTTTAGGTTTACTTGAGGTGCGTTACACCAAGTTATTTTTTATTATATAGGGTAAAATTAACAAAGGAGCACTTGGAGTGCACAGAAAATGACCTTAATAGGAGAATTACTCCAATATTAAGCAGCATTTTAAGGTAGATGGTGGAAGTTTCGTCACTTCGGTGATGGGATCCACCACCCCAGGACGGAGAGCAGTGTTGGGACTGGGGAGATGTTGGGATGGAGCCCCGGTCCCCACCAACTCTAATGAGTGCAATTAATGGCCGGGGGGCTGCTGATTGACTTTGGTGGGAGGGTGGAGCAGGCTGTGCTGGGAAGCCAGGTTAGCTCGGCTGGGAGACTCATGAAATTTAAATTAGGAGGATTTTTGTGGGGAAGAGGAGAAAGTATTAACAAACTAAAGAGAGCTAATTACTGGAGATGGAGAACATTCGCTGTGTAGTTGTAGATGACAGCGGTTAAGTAGTTCCCATCAGGGCTTTTCCTGCTTCGGAGACAAAGGCATCGTCCACTGAGTTAGCAGAGATGATGAAGAGCTGCGTTTTACAAATGGAGATAGGCTCTAATTGCAAAAATGCCTGCAAATACTTCTGTGGCACTTTGCTGAACCCTGGTGTCACGGCAGATTTTTGAAGTCTGCTTTCCACAGTCATTACACGCTGCTTCATTTGTAATGAAGTTTGCAACTCGGGGAACTTCATTTGGAGACATTTCAGCTCCCCCCCGCCCCCAAATCTGTTTTATGTCCATCCACTTTAATGGGGAAAGAAATTAAGCCTTGGTTCCTTGTGTAACATTGCAGCAGAGGCAGTCGCAGGGATTTAACTCCTCCGCTCGAGGAGCAGGAGCGGCTCCGTGGCCAACCTCTGCCGTGCCACGCAGCATGAGCAGCACCCCACGGAGCAAATAACCCCACGCTACCAACCAAACGCATTCAAACACACCTTGATTTAGCCTCTAACGAGGGAAATTTTCCCAAATGAGCCGGTGCAAATCCTCTCCCTCGCATCTCGTCGCAGGGGGTGAGCTGGGGGTTAAGGGCAGGCGGAGTTAGGGTGGGGGTGGATTTTTTTTTCTCTTGTGTTATTTGCTCTCCAGCTCAGTGAAATCCTGTTTTTTTCCTGAGCACGGGTGGTGACTCTGCGAGCAGGAATCCTCTTCTCCCAAGCCCGAATAATGGCCCGTCCTGGTCTCCTAGTAACTGCGCTGCCACATCACTTTTGACAATGGAGCATCCTTCGGCGCCTGGTCCTCTGCTCCCGCTGGCTGCTCCGCCGCTTCAAATGGCAATTGTCTGAAATTTCTCCAAAAAGAGCAACTTTTGTCTGCGGCGGTTTTGTTTGTTTTGTCACTGCTGCCAGAAAGGGGTTTTAAGGGGTCGTCTTGTGCTCCTTCCTTCCAGCAAGCGGCAGCCCTTGGGGAATGCACTTTTGTGAGATAGCTTGGGGTAGGCTTTCCCCCCCACCCCCCTCTTCAAATATCAAATATTGCTCTTGTTATTTTCTGAAACCGTGCTCTCAAAGCATTTTAAACTTTCTGTTCTCGGAGTAAAAGTCTTCCCATTGATTATTGCACTAAAAGGCTTTTCTCTGCTCAGTGTATTTTGGAAGCAGGCTCTGTCTGGATGTACAAGTGCGTGTAATGAAACTTTGCCCGCAGCCAGCAAAGCTCTCTCCGAGCTGCGCAGGAGGAATTGCACTTGTGAAAGCTGAAGCATAAAACCTGGTGGCAAAACCCGCCCCGTGACCCTGCTGGGCTTTTGTGGGTGGAAGGGGATTTTTTGGAGCTGCCTTAGTGCTCTGGGTAGGGGGAGTTTTGGGGCAAAAGGAAGGGATGGGGAAGGGGAGGAGGGAGCTGCTTTTTTTTGGTCTTTTCTATAGGAAGAAATGTGTCCATGTACGTGGGAGCCCAAAATTTGGATGTATGGGGAAGGGGAGGAGGCTAGGAATGGGCCATCAGTGGTGGGAGTGAAGCCCATGCACGAGCAATAGCACCCATGCAAAGTCCAAGTCCCAACAGACCCCAAACCTGGACCCAGTGCCCGGCTGCTTGGGGTGGGTTCAGATGCATCTGAACGGAGCCAAATTCGGGCACGGGGTGAGGCGATGCCCTGTGCCTCATTTGCAACCCCTCCCATTTATTTTCCTTCTTCCCAGAGGACACTGAGATTGCTCTCAGTAAAAACACTTGACCTGTCTCGGTGCCACCGTGCAAACTTTATTCCCTCTCTCAAGGACAGCATCGTTGGTTTGTTGGGCTTTTTTTTTTTTTGTACCCCTTCCAAGTAAATGAAATGCTACAATCAGAGCTCTGCTTCACACACACAGACGTATGCACCTTTTCACCGCGGAAGGGCAGCGCTGGGCACTGGGGAGCCGGCGGTGCTGCGGAGCACGGGTGAGATGAAGGGGAAAGGCATGAATCACAGCGTGTCAGGGGAAACACATGAATCACGGGTTGTGTCAGCAGACTTGACAGGTTCCACCACCGTTTCTCTACCTGCGGATCCATGGTTTTGAGTCCCCGAACACCCCTGTGCCACGGTGGCCTGAGCTGTGGTGTGATGGCAGCTCGGGAAGGTCCCTCCCGCCTCCCCATTTCCATCCAGACATGGGAAAACTCAGCTCCAGCTCCCATCACTGTGGAAATCAGATGCGAGGGAGGTGCTGTGGCTGCCCGTGGTTGTCTCGCAGCCATGGAGGGCATCAGGTGCCTTTCCCCCCCAAACCCCGAGGTCTTCCCCTGGCTCCAAAGCCGCTTTTAGAGCCCTCTTTGCATGGTCACCAAGCTCTCAGGACCCTGTGGCCTAGATCCAGGCAAATCCATGACTGCACTGAGAAACACAAGTCCTGGTTGTGAC